TTGTTTTCTCCTCCAGATTGTTCATCCAGCCTGTCCTATCCAGACAGGCCTGCGGAGACAACCGCATGCACAAAAACAAGACAGAGCAAAACCAAGCAACAATGTACAACAAAACAGCAACAACAACAAACCAATGTCAAAAAAACTCAAAACAAAACACAAGAAAGAAAAGCTTGTAGTCAGTTCAAGGATTGTTTGCTGGCCTTTAGGAGTGTTTTCCAGTCCAGCCTGTTCATAACATTATTTTCATTGTTACTTCATCACTGTCACTTTGTTACTGCTATGAATTGTCATGTAAATATCTGTATTCAGGATGTATTTTCATTGTTATAAATTGAACATAATTAAAGCATAGTGATTCACCACAAAACAATATGTAATTATATATTGTGTAATATTTATTTCTAATGACAAATAAGTGAAAATTTGTCTTGAAGCATGGTGCAGCATGGGTAACAGTCTTCACGCTGGGTACTCGTAGGTGGGCGTATCTGCATGTGGGTGGACCCACCTGGAGACGGATAGAGGAGCGGTGCCTCATTTCCTAAGATCATCGAAAATGTGTGTTTTCTGATGATCTTAGGCGACCCCTGTGAAAGGGTCGTTGGACCCCCAAAGGGGTCAAGACCCACCGGTTGAGAACCTCTGGCCTAAAAGGTTTGTTAACACTTGCCCCCAGCAAAGCGGAGCCTGCCCTGAGGGACCTGGGGAAGGCCTGTTCTGAGGGGGCTGAGTGAAGCCTGTCCTAGCGGAGCCCGAGAGAGCCCAACCTGGGGGCTCAGAGGAGCTGCTACTGGGTGAGCTGTGGGCAGAAGGAGCAGAGGGCAGCCTGCAGGCCCCACCTACAGGAGCTGGGCACTGCCCTGCACCAAGGCCCTCAAGGGGCCTGGTCTCCATTTCAGAACCTTCCAGACCTTGCCGACCTGCTTCCGGACCTGTTCCTGATCCTGACTGGTCGACTCTTGATCCTGACCTGATACTTTCAGTGCTGCAGCACCCAGCAGGGAGGCCGTGGGGCCGCGGGAGGGCTGCGCTGTCAGAGCCCGTCTGACCGCTGTCTCCCGGGAAGCAGCCCGGGCTGATGCATGGTGGCTCTCTTTCCCCTTCCTGAATCAGAGGACCTCCTTTACCAACCCAACAGACCAGAGGGAATATGTGCAAAGCATGTGACGAACACGCAACCAGACCTATTGCGGCTGAATCCATTTCGACTCCCCACGACCCCACACATCACACAGCAGAGCTGGCTCGTGGGGTCGGCTCGACTGCACTCAGCACAGGAGAAAAGTTCTCCACACCCTCCTTCCACGGCGCCCTCGGGCCTGGATGTGACAGAAGGATTCTAGAAGGAACAATACCAACCTACAACACTACTGACGTTACAAATCTGTCCTTGTCGTTAAACTCTCCCTGCGTCTGCGTCCGTGCTGCTGTCTGTGGACGGGTCCCTGTGTGTTGTGATCTATGTCACACAGCCGGTCTGCATGGAACCCCGGGCTAGCCAAGGGATCTTTTGGTGACCGGGGCTGGAAGCCCGCTTTGAGCGAATTGACAAACAGGAAGTGCATTGACCACGGAGCTGGGCCCCACATCTCGCTGTCTTGGCCTGTGGTTTTCATTCCATGGAGGAAGGAGCTGTCTTGGCGAAGGTAATGAAACAGGGCGAGTGTTGTGGGGTTTAAGTTCATCTCGCTTTTTAAAACAACAGTTGTATCAACGTGTAATTCACATATCGGACAGGAGCGGGCAGCTCTCTCCAGCGTGGGGCGCACCGCGTTGTACAAGTGGACAACCAGCGAGTGAGCAAGTGAGCGAGTGGAGAAGGCAGGAATGGCAGAGGTAGTTGGGGTGGCGGCTCCGCTCAGGGTGAGCCAGCAGCCAGCGCAAGGCCTGCCCTAATCCAAGTGGCCTCCAGGCGGCAGTCTTGGGGCGCTGACTGCCTGGAGACCAGGGCGCTGTGGCAGGGGAGGGTGGATGGACAAGGGCACCAGGAGCTGGAAAGGGAGCGGTGTGGGGCACAGCAGGAGGGTGGGTGGGGCTGCCACATCCTCCATGATGGTCCCCCACCCAGCCCTTAGGCGTAAGCTCTCAGCCTGTCCTTGCTATTCCGAACCTAACCTTCCCGACAGGGGGTCAGTCCGTGGGTTTCCGGCACTGTAACTGCTTGTGGGGGTAGAAAGCCCAGCCTTTCCCCGGAGCTGCTGGTGGTCTCAGCCTGCCCGCTGCACCCCCACCCCCACCCCTGCCCAGGGCTCCCAGCCAGAGCTGCCCCAGGTGGGAGGCTGGGAAGTTACAATCACCAGCCAGGCACCGCCCACCTGAGCTGCCCCACTCAAGGGCAGGTGCCCAGGCTGCTCCAGAGAGAGGGCAGGGTCACAGCAGGAGGCCAGAAACCCACTTCCAGCAGCCCCATCCCTGCTCCCCACCCCACCTCCCGAGACCCGGCATCACCAGCCTCCTTGTGAGTCAGAGCAGGTGCCAACTTGAGGCCTGGTGCGCAGCCCCAGGTCCCACTAAGCTGAGGGGACCAGGGAGCAGGAACGAAGAGGCCACTGACCAGCCCACAGAGGGCTCTAATGGCTGGGAGGGCCCAGGAGGGTTCCCCGGTGGGCAGCATCTGCCTCAGCCTCTCAGGATCTGAGCCTACCCTGGGGATGAAGTGGGGACCGAGGCTAGGGACAGTCCCCCTGTCCCTCTGTCTGTCCAGCCAGGAGTAGACTCTGTGCAGGGGTGGGGACATCAGACAGAAGCGCCAGCAGACAGCGCTGCGGGAAGACACCCTGGCTGCGTCTGGTAAACAGTTGGGGTGCAGAAGGGTTCTGATGGGAGGTGGGCAGTGTTGGGGGGCTGGGGGCTGTTACCACAGTCCAGGGGCCTGCTGGATGCAGGGGTAGCACAGGGAGTGACCTGGTGGTCTGGCTGGGCTTCCAGCATGGCCCCCAGGTCTCCACACCAACCTACCCCTCCTGCCTCACAACTTCACCGGGCCCCTGCCCACCTCCAGGGCACCAACAGGGTGGCTTCATTTACCTGGGGATAATGGATCCAGATCTCCCATGGCTGTGGCCACCGAGCTCTGTCCCCCACCCCACCCCACCCCATCTGCACCGCAATCCTGCAGGGCCCCTGGGGAGTCAGGCAGGGTGGACTCACACTCTCAGAACAAGAAGGGCCCTGGGGTGTCCAGGGTGCCGGTCCTGTCCTGCAAAGACCGGTGACACAGCGTTCTCAGTGCGGGCCCCATGTGCGGTGGGTGCAGACCCACCCATCACACAGGCTCCAGGAGGTCTGTGCTCTGGCTGGCAAGCAGCCTCCCCATCACCACACACACACACACACACACCCCAGGGAGCAAGCCAGGGGCACGTGGGACCAGATGCCCGGAAGGGCAGCCACTGCTCTGTCCCTGCTGCCAGCCACCCCAGCCGCCAGACAGGCTGAGCTGAGCACCCTCCCAAAGAGCAGGCTGGGGCCAGAGCCCTCCAGGGATGGAGTCCCCGCACCCACCTTGCTTGCTGGCCAGGCACTTCAGGGTCTGCGTCTGCACCCAGAGCCCCGATGGCACAGTGGGTTATGCGTTGGGCTTCTCACCACAAGGTCAGCGGTTCAAAACTGCCAGCTGCTTTGGAGGAGAAAGATGAGGCTGTCCACTCCCGTATGGAGGTACCATCTCAGTAACTGGATTCATACCCGCCTCTTGGGGTTGGGGACGCGGAGCTCATGCAGTGAGCACAAGACAGAAGGAGATGGTCTGAGTTTGCTGTGGCGATGACCACGCAGCTCTTCTCAGTATGGCCAAACCAGCGTGTCGGCGTGTCAGTAAGCCTGCTAAAAGGAACAGTAAAATGTAAAGGGGTTAAAAAGAGTTGCAGTCTCAGAAACCCACATCCACTCCCTGGCCTGAGCGTGGTCCTGTTTCCTTGAGGTCTGTCTGCACCAGGAGCCTGCAGCTCACACCACCTCCCGCCCTGCAGGCCCTGGGCCTCCCTCTGCTGCCCACAGCCCACCCCACCTGGCAGCGTGCAGCCCCCAGCTTGAGCAGAAAGGGTCTCACTGGGGGGTGACTGGGGGTGGTTGGGGGAGGGGAGGCTGGCTCTCCTTCTGTGTGTCTATGTGTGTGGTATATGTGTATGTGTGTGTGTGGTGCGTGTGGGGAGCGTATACATGCGTGTATATATGTGTGTGTGGTATATATGTGTATATGTGAGTGGTATGTGGGTGTATATGTGTATGGTGTGTGTACGTGTGTGCGTGTGCAAGGCTGACACACCTGTGAAGGCAGAAGCTGAGCACAGAGGGGGCCCCCAGCCCTCCTTTCCTGCCCCCCATTCTGAGGGGGCCTCCGGTAGCAGTCTCGGGTCCTTACGACAGGGAGGGACCGTCCCAAAGGGGCTGGAAGGCGGGTGCACATGCCCGGGACAGGTGCTGCAGGACCACTGGCCTGAGTGGCTCAGCCGCGGCGCCCCACAGAGACTGGGATAAGAGGTGGTGGGCCTGTGCCTTGTGGGAGCACCTGACGAACCCTGTCCTTCTGTGCTGGGCCTGTGGGCCCTGGCGACCAGCTTCACAGCGAAGCGGCGGTCTTACGCCTCGTCCACATTCCCGTTCTCTCCCCGGGGCGGCCTCTGCTTCCCCAGAGGCCCGAGGGGAGGGCTTGGGGAGAAGCTGGCAAATTCCGTACTGCCTGGCATCCTCCTCATCCTCTCTGGCACTGTCACCCCACAGACGGCAGGAGCTGTCGCAGGCGGGGGGGCGGGCAGTTGCTTCCTCAGGATGAAATGGCCCCTCCCGGCGCCTGGCCTCTGCTTCGCGCCTCTGCGAGGCAGCTGAAGCTCCCCGCCCCGATGCCCACTGCCCCACCCAGTGTGTGTCGCTTCAAGCCAACATGAATGCTTTTCTCGAGGGTGGATTTGGGGGATGTTTATTTGGGGTCAACATGTGTGCGTTCCGATTGCCCATGATGATCAGGGCACCTTGACCGCACCTGTGGCCCTCTCCGACGGACGCATGCAGTGCATCTCACCAGCTTCGAGGCGTGAACTTGAGGGTGGCATCTCCTTGGATTCACCTAGCTATGACCTCGACGTGCCCTTTCTTCACGTCATGATTTTTTTTATTTTGGTCTTGACGTTTGTTCTGAGATTCAGAGGACAAACCACGGGCTCGTCCGGGCCGCTGTGCGCACAGTGAGTTCACAGATGTCTGCTCCGTTCCTCATGTGCAAACGTCACGGGCCCCTTCCCAGTGATCCACCACACCCTTCACCGGGAAGCAGACCCCACACACACCCGGCCGGTCTCCTGTCCTCCGCCTACGGCTGGGCAACGCGGGCAACGGGTTGTCGTCCTCCTCGGAGAACCAGCCTCCACTGTCGGGCGGGTCCAAGGGGCAGTTGTGTCACTGAGGGTAGAATTAAGGAGACATCAGACAAGGTGAGGCATGCAAGTGCCCACCTCCGGGACCGCCATGACTTCAGGAGCCAGGTCCACGCAGAGAGAGGGAAAAGATTTCCAACCAAGGCTTATATACACTCTAGGGGCGTGCAAGGCCCCTAATTGCAGGAGACCATGTGCCTAACAGGAGGGGGTGTGCAGTAGACATACCCGTGACAAGATGGTTAGGCAAGGTGGCAGCCTAACCTTGGTCGTCCCTGAGTTGGCTTGACCTTAGGGGGCTTTGGGCCCGCCTTCAGGGGAGCAATCCATCATCCTTATCAGAAGGGAGTGGGCTCTACTCAGGGTGGCTGACAACCCTCAGGCAGAGAACTTTTCTGTAGTTGACCTCCAGGTGCATAGTCAGTGGCCTTGTGTTTGCAAACAGCACCTTAGGTTTGGCGTCTATTATGGGGGACAACCTGGGGAATCACTTTTCTGTTCCCCAAATCCTCTGTGTCTGGCTTTTTGCACGCAAGCTCTTGTTTCTGAGGAGGGCCACCCTGGGACCCTCTCAGGACTGCAGGTCTGACTGGTCGCACACTGTCTTACACACTTCATCCCACACACGTTGCACATGTTGTGGGGAGAGACCCGTGCTTGGAGAAGGACTGCGTGCTAGGTAAAGTGGAGGCCCGTTGAGGCAGAAGATGGCCCTCAGGGAGATGGATGGACACAAGGCTGCAGCAACGGGCGTGGGCGTGGGACCTGCTGTGAGGATGGCCTGGGATCAGGCGGGGTCTCCTTCTGTTGTGCACAGGGTCGCGTGGGCCAGGACTGCCTCCTAGAGTCTGCCAACAGCAGCCGCAGCAGGACCCCACGGTGCAGGGGCACACATTTTACTCACGCATTCATCTGTCGATGGGCGTTGAAGTGGCTGCCACGGTTGGCCTCTGGGCAGAGAGCTGCCATGGACACTGGTCCACAGGCAGATCTGCTGGCATCCGTTGGCATCACTGCCTTCCTTATCTCTGGTGTCCCGGGCCTGGGGCAGGGCCACTGCACCAACTGCCCCTAAGAGAGAAATGGAGGAGTTTATTAGAAGGTGACCCCAGCAGGGCAACCAATATAAACACACGATAGCTTGATGGAGTCCCACTTGTGCTCAGAACACAGGGAGATCACACACCTGCTCTCGGATCACAGGGAGATCACACACCTGCTCT